ATACAAATTACCACAATATAAATAAATATGTCCGGACTCATTTCTTGCAATGCATCGAAAAATTGCTTTCCAAGATGACACCAATCCGTAGGCGCGCCATGGATATTGCTGCATTTTATGGAAAATAACTGTAAAGCGCCTCTATAATGAAGATTGTCAATGAGTAATATAATTTGCATAAACATCATCTTTTATTCAATCAATAGTCTCAGTTTACATTGCAAAAATTGCATATTTTAAGTATTTTATTGTCACGCTTTGAGATTTTTAACGGAAATAAAAACTTAGTTTTTTCGATGTTCTTGTATTTTGTTCAAGTAAATAGAATTTGATTTGTTCTCAAATGAATTAATTCAAAAAAGTCCAAATTAATTCAAAAAGTCCGACTTTTGACTTTTTTTATTAAACTCATGACTTATTCCAACCCTGTAGTGAAACTCAAGATGGCCTAATCGGAATTTGCATAACTGTTCCTGTTCATGAAATTCAGGGCGATTTTGAAAATTCATGCTCTATGGACCCTTTCTATATCTTTACGAAGTAATTAGATAAAGTGTTGCGTTAACAACTACGTATAACAGAATTTTTGTTCCTTTGGTATAATGTGTTTATTAATTGGAAAATCGGAAAATCCATGGCCCACTCGCAGAAATTCATCATAATTTAATGTTCTAGTGTATTTTTGAGAATTTCTGAAATCCTCTGTATAAAGTATCATGTCATTTTGAATGAAAGAAAATGAAGAACTCAACCAGATGATGAAATGCAATGTGAGGGCCCACTTTGAAATTTATCTTCATACATTGGAGCGCACGAAAGGGAATCCATATAATGTTCCAAGAAAATCGTGCGGATATTGGATTTTTTTTCAACTCTTAGAGATAATACTGTCATTGGCAAATAATTCCAAAGCTTTGAAGTAATCCATATATGCATGATCCTGTGATCATTTCGCTATTAGAAAACTTTAATCGATAGGCGGAGACACCTTATTTCTAAAAATGTTCATATAAGAAGTAGAGAAAATATAAAATATTCACTAAGTTTTGAAAATAGAGAATTATTATGGCAAATTATTTTATTGTTCTCGCCTTCTGCCAATCTCGATTTTCTAGTGCAATAGTGAAGTGGAAAAGATTATGAAATGCAGATCTCATCGAGTAGGTACCTATTGGCAAAAACCTCGAAGTCGTTTTTCGAATTCGAAAATACACTCTGTACATAATCCCGAGAAAACAAAAATTCGAAATGAAAAGTCAAAAATATCGGCTCGAGAATTAATTCGACTTCTTGGCCAATAATAGGTACATTCTAGTGTAAGTGTATTCATATAATATGATTTTTATTGGCTAAATCGAGCTCTCTTTATACGCCACTGCGAATTACGGCGCATCGAAAAAGACCTCCATGAAAAATTCAAATGTACTCCGATATGAAGTCGCTATGAATTCACTTAGTAGTCTGTGAAATGGGGACGTCGTAAAAATGAACGATGCACCTGATGCTATGGAGTTAGCTGGGACTCGAAGATAGGAAAGAATATGGCGTTTCACCTGATGGTCTCCGAATGCATCTGATTTGATAGAGAAAATTCATAGTGGAACGTCTCGATATATTTCCAGACACCAGAAGAATTAGATTGATATGTTGAAGACCTTTCTCAATGCATCATCATTAAGTAGATAACATGATGTGAATTTTTAATGAAGTGTTTTTGAACCAGCTTCATTACTAGACTGCTTTTGATTAATATCTAAGTATCTGAGACTGATTCTAGTTGAATTTCACTGGTTCGGAAGTTCGAACTCTGAAAACCTGAGAGAGCTGAGTAAAATAGTGATTCCTGACTTTCCAAAGCTTTTCCTGATAGACTCCGATAAACATCATTACAACCCTAAAGATTCAAATATTTTTCAACCCTTTGCTCATGAAAGAAATTTGGATGAATTTTTCATCTGTTAACATGATGGATGTTTACCTGGTCATCACTTTTTTGTTATTAGATATTTTCGAGTCAACTTCATTCAGTAGCATTAGCAAGGGTAGTAGATTTTGTTCCTGTGTCCATTTAGGGTTAAATATCATTGTTTCCGCATTTTTGTGAGTTTAAGAACATGTGCTTTTGGATGCTGGTTCGTGCAGGCATAGTTGAGGATTCCGTCCAATAAGGATCTAGGATTGAGCTGTCCTTGTACCGAGGTTAATGGGGAGTATAATTACTGAATACAGCTAATAGATCTGTCTCTATTCTCTACGCTCAATACTCAGCTCTACACACTCAACTCTTCACACTCAACTCTTCACACTCAACTCTTCACCTGTGTCTTTCCTGGTTCTCTTGCTGATCTCTTAGTGCTCTCATATTTCATTCAAAGCCAGTGTAAAGTATTAATGTATAGTGATTTCGTGTTGCACATGTAAGTTAGTATAATATGTTTCACCATTATTATTCATCCTGTTTATAGAGTCATTTCATTCCTGTTGTTTTTCATACCGATACTCAACCGACCTGTGTAACGAATCCAGTGTATTTGCGAATAAACGTTTTTTTTTTGTGATTGCATATTCATATTTCTTCCTCTGTTGTCATCGTCTTCAGTTCCGAATAGTTCCAAAAATTCATTTGTTGATTTTCAATACTTACATTCGTCAAATCGCTTATTATTATTATTTTTGACTGACGGCTGACACTGACATAGTCAGTTGCCAACTATTCTTCTTTTTCTTGAGCATTCCAGTCCTGTGCACCGGTGTCCCTGTGCTCTGTGTCCTGTCAGGCGTTGGTTCATGAAATTTTGACATGAATGGATATAGAAACATAACGTCACTAAAATTCCGATATTGTAAAAATTAGAAAATTGAAGGAAAAGGAAAGATTAATACGAATTAAATTTGTTTAATTTGTTTGGAACTGTGTTTCCGATTCTCCTGGTAGATTTAATGAAATAGTTTGAATAAATAATTTTCCAGACCTAACTTGGAAAAACTAGAGATCCGTTTTCGACAAAGATATGTGCTTTGATTCCTGTTATTATCCACAATAGAAATATCAACCAGTATTCCAGACTGAAGCCAGGGTTTGTAATTGAAGTCTACACTCCCTTGGCTCCTTATTGATGCCAGGTCGATTCAATAACATTGACCCCTGGTGTATACTGTAGGTAGCGAGGTAGGTACACCACCTGTCTCCACTGTTGTTACCCAGGCCAACTGATAAACTGAGGAGTTTATAGAGGCAGGTGGAGTAAACCACCTCATGAACAATCTGGCGCCCGAGACCCCTCCGACAAGTACCAGAGTAGTCTCTGTTCGAACAAGCGCCAAAGTAAGGATCCCAGAAATAAAGGTCGTTACAAATTAGGTATCATCTAGGCAAGGGTAGAACCAGAACAAAGAAAGTGTAGTTTCTCCTCTTTGGAGTACTGAAATGGATTGATTTCTGGCCAAGAATTCACAATGAAACCTCTGGACGTATTTTCAGTCATCAGGAAAAGGAAATTCATAAAATGTTCAATACTTTTCTTACTTACTCATCATCATTGAGAGTCCATGATGTAAATCTGTTTGGAACTGTGAGCATGGATTGATACCTAATAAAAAGAAGGTAGTATGATTTATTTTTGGTTTCGCGAGATCAGAGAGACTTGGACTCTCTGAATTTAGAATTTCACCACAACGGAATTATTCTGAATGGAGCCTAGAACCCGTGTCATCTTGAATTCGGATCTCTTCTAGAAAACTTATCGAAAAACTTGAGTGGTCAGGAGTGAACTCTAATCTGGACAAGTAACTCCATCAGGCTCCATGAAAGCACCAAACTCATGGCCTTTGTCTTCTTGAGAATCACTATGGAATATCAAAATAGTTTCTTTGACACCCTGGTTCACGGAAGCAGCGTAATATGAAAGTCTATGTATGGTTGTCCTACAATAACTGTGGCCTGAGTCTGTTGTAGGAAACAAAAGTTGCTGACTTTATTGAAACTGAACTCACAGGTCAAGAAGATGGTCATCAATGAGCCGAAACGATAAGACTGACAGAATGTAAAAAATGCTCAATCTATCTGGATCAATATGTTGTTATTGCGACAGAAGACGTGTTGTCGTTGTTTCCTCAACGTCGACCTATTTCTCTGCAATGAGGGCAAACACTAACACTAGTGAACCCTCTGGTATCTTTAACGATAATCCAAGGCAAGACCACATACCCTGCTTCCTAAAAGATCTATTTGACTTCCATCAATACTAGAAGTAAAAACTTATTTCATATACCATATGCCAAATATAAAATAACTTCTGTTGCTCCAAACTATATAGGACCAAAAATGTTTAACCATCTACCTGATGTTTTAAAAAATATTGTATTCATTTCCTTGTTCAAACGAAAACTAAGATGTTTCTTACTTGAAAAATGCTTTTATAGTGTAGGAGAATTTTTCTCCTCATGAGTCTTTTGACTTTGACATTGACTATTCCTATATAATACTTGTATTATCCGAAGGAAAATAAATGATTATTATTATTATTATATACTCGATGGGGCTTTTTTTCTATAGTTCTACTTATATCCCTCAGAAATCTCAGAATGTTGTTTTTGGCCCGTGGATTCTTTAGGGTGACATATTCCGTAAATATGTTCACAGAGGTTTCCTCCTCCTTTCCAAAGAACCAGCATTTCATCTTCTTCTTCTACATGTATTACTTAATTACGCGTCATTCGTTCTTTCGTGGTTATAGTTTTCAGGTGGTATCTTAGCGTCCGTGAGACGTTTATTCCCAAATATCTGATCTCTGTTCAACTGTCAACATTCCGAACGACTTGATCTCATATTCGAATATCGATATCTGTGCACAAAGCAATTTTTCGCATAGTCTATACCGGTAATGATATTTCAAAACATTATCTTTTCTCTATCGATTCCCTTGTATTTCCTCTCGTTTTGTTCCGAAGGTAATTTGATTGTAAATAATGGCTTGTCAGTTCCGATTCCCCTGTTGTAGCTCGTTTGCCGACTGCGGAAAGGAAATTAATAGATGCGATTTTTCAAGATTGGATCCGGTCGATGAACGACTTCCTCAGGCTCGAAGGAATTCTATCTGGTTGTGTGGAGGTTCTTAAACGACGAGTCATCGCGGCCCAATTAAGTTATGGATAATATGCCACCCTTATTATTATTTAACTGGGACCTGGGTATCATCCATATTATGCCTTATTTGATCAATGGTAACTCGGGGGGAGACGGGGGCTGCAGAAAGAGCCTTTTGATCAGCAGATATCTGAAACTTCACTGTTATTAAGCCTGAAAGTAAAATTCAATTGATAGTCAGTGACCTTTGTTTTGAAAAAATTTTGACTCGATGTTTGATGAAAAGGAATGAGTATTGGAGATATATGAAATGTTTCCTTAGCAGCTCGTTCGGACGTTTTGGGAACGTATGTGCTGTTTTCACGATATAAATGGAAAATAATTCTTGATATGGATTATTTTCTCTCGTTCTTCGACACTTCTCAGAGTGACAAGAGTTGACAGATAGATGTATAAGTTGCAGGTGTTTTTTTTCTTGACCTTGAATTCACCATTTCATTAAATAAGGACAAAGTGACGGATTTATGTGACAAAAAAATATGCCGTCGTGAAAATGTTTAAATTCCGAGTATTTCCGAAGATATACGAAAAAACAGTGATATTATATTCCCTCTTTTTCTCTGCTGTACGATTACCTTTTCAGATCAAATATCCGACGTTTCGTCGCGACGCCACCACCAACTCTATTTTTTATATGGGCGTCAAATTAGAATTTCATTATGAATAATATGATGATGAATCAGAAAATGTCATCGTATATATAGCAGAGAAAAAGTCGCAATGTGGATGTGTTCTCAATTTTGATATTCTTCAAAAAATAACGCAAAAAAAATTATTCACCTTCACTTTTGCCTCTTTGGCTTACATCTTCGGAAATACTCAAAATTCCAAAATTTTCCCGGCGGCATATTTTTATTCACATAAATCTGCAACTTTGCCCTAATTTAACCATCTTCGTATCTCCTATAGTTTCCGAGATCCCAACTAAACCAGAATGCAATTTTATGATGTTCAGAAGAATGCAAGCGATTATTCCATTCTGTAATATGTTCTTCATTCAGGATATGTTCACCGGCTAGTTTTGATTTGTCGATTTTTTTCTTGATACTTATTGTGCTTTCATTTTTCGTCCTTACAGGGATAGGTGTCTCTGTTTCATCTGTATAATACCATCTTTCATCTGTATAATATCTTCCACAAATACAATTTTTTTCTTGATCATTCTTCATTTTCTGTGTTTTGTTTGAATTATAAATATTAGAATTGATCTGATTGTAGGTAGACAGTTTTCTCTTGAAACTTATCACCAACACTTTTTATTTTTTTAGATAAGTCGGGAATGTATCATGGTATTATATTTTAATTGTTATCGATGGTTGTTTTTGTTGTGATGTAATTTGTTCGTTTTAAGTTTGGAGGATGGTTCCATAAATGAAAGGATGATTCCAATCAAGTAAGAAATATTGCCTACTTTCTTCAATTCAGTGAAATGAATCAGAGTTTCCCATCAGTCTATTTTTTGTCAAATGTGGTTGAATGCACCAATATTGAATGAAAATTCTATTTCATGATGTATCTAGAAATTCTAAGAACATATTTGTAGATGTTTTTTCAATTGTGAGTACGGATGAACTTCAACCTCGATATTTCACAAGCCAAGAAAAACATATTTTATTGAATTTTTGGAATCTACGCTGTGAAGTTACATTAATGTCCATCCAGAACATCTTAATGCCTAGAGGACAACATTTTTGAATTATTCAATATTTATCGTGATTTTTGACAAATGCAGAAGCCTGAAATATATATTTTTTAAATTCAAGCTAGTCATCAGACCTTTTTTTATCGCTTGGAGCGCACGAGTGGGAATCCCTATAATGTTCAAAGAACATCGTGCGTGCGTAGGGATGATAGGGAGAGGAGGTGGATATTGAATTTTTTTGGACTTCTGGGGCTCATAAGTTATTGGGTGTCCTTCCATAGGCAATAAATTCCAGAGCTTTGCTGTTCTAAATAGGCAAATGAGTTTTGATAAAGTGCTGCTCGACAAATTTTGAGGTTGACAACAAGGATGTGGGGCTTGTCGAGTTCTTCTGACTGATATTAGTAGTTATTTCGTCTCTCCAGTCCAGCCCCTCCCCTCCACCCCTCTCCAAACCACGTCACCCGACTAGCCAATCAAATACCAACATTTGGTTGAAGGCCAAGCCCACAAAACCTCACGGAAACGTAACGGAACACCACGAAAATGTCACGGAACACAACGAAAATATCACGGAAACGCAACGGAACACCACGGAAATATCACGGAACACCACGTATACTCCCACTCAGCAAAACTGTTCGAAATATCGCCTAGTTAGGTGTTGATGTCGCACCAGTCAGATGTCAGTTTGCTTCGAAGACTCATTCATGGATATCGCACTGGTTGACATCAACACCTAACTAGGCGATATTGCGAACAATTTTGCTGGCTGGGAGTATGTGGTGTTCTGTGAAATTTCCGTGACGTTTCCGTGGTGTTCCGTGACATTTCCGTGAGGTTGGTGGGCGTGATCTCCAACCAAGTGCTGGCCTCAGATTGGCTAGTCGGGTCACGTGATTTGGAGAAAAGTGGGAGGGAGGGGCTGGACTGGAGAGGCGGGATAACTACTGGTATTGCTAGTGATGGAATGATAACAGATATTTCTGAAGAACTTTTCTCGTGGATGTATCTATAGAAGAGTGAAAGGTCGCCTACACTCCTTCGGTGTTCCAATGATGTCAAAGAGTTAGTGAGTGTGGCATCATCCACCAGGCGAATGACTTCTGTATTTTCAGGATCTACATAAATGAGACCCAAAACTTTTCAAAATTCCACATTGGGCTCAGAAGTTAGAGCGCATGTACATTAAATCGATGTGTTCTCGTCAGAAATGAAGATATACAAGGAAATAGTAAGATTCCAGCTTTTCCTTCAGAAATGTCTCTCTGATGCGGCTCTGTTATGCTGTATACATGGATACCAAACAAGGCTCGAAACAAGGTATATGACATAAATTGTGTGCGGTGACTGGGAATAACATTCTCATTATCTATACAAGCAACAATCCCAGTGAGGATGCGATCAATCAGAATCAACCGATTAACAGTAATAACTGCTATCCCATTGTCTGTAATCGTTCCTACGGCTATCGAATGCATACCCCATATGGTTTCCATGCCACCATTCGCAACAATAATAACATCCAATCTGTTATTTTTAACATCGGAAATTATCTCGAGAAATTTAATAGAATCGTCTGATGAATCCTGCTGATGCTCGATGCAATTATCATTGGATTGTATATAGCAGAAGCGGAGATAGCATCCGCTGCAACCAACGGCGAACAATCACATTAACTCCAACGTTTTTATGGCACTGTAGATTACGTATAAGTAGGTACATACTCTGCCAGTGGCGGCATTTTTTCTACTCAGAAATGCTCGCAAAATGGTCAAACCGAAGTTCCCCATAGGAAGGGAATAGAAGAAAAACTATTTCAAAAGGAAGAAGGAAAGCTCAAAGTCATCTCCACTACTTCAATACTGATGTAAATCAATCAAGGGGACATGTTTCGGACTCATAAGAGTCCATCTTCAGCCGTTTTTAGCAGTTACTACAAGCAGAGGCATATTATAAAAAAAAACAAAAGTTAACTTAAATGGAGGTGAAACAGTATTTTAAATTGATGCCGATGTCTATCATCATAATATCGTGGTTATAATGGTGGGAATAGGGGAACTTGATATGGATCAAGAACTAAAAGTTTCACATGTTTCTCAGATATGCACCTTATTGAATCTACTGGAGATTTTTGAAATAAATTTGTCTATGAACAATAATTCTGTCACATCCTTTAATGAACAGGTCAACTATGGCTGTATACAATTTTTCAATTCTCTAGAGATCACCAAAAACTAGATTTAGCTTTATATCTTTTCGTACCTGCTTAACCATCAATCATTGTTGGAATTTCCTCGACTTCCCACCATGTTCCTCATCGTCATTTCTGTCGGAATTATTTCTAACTGTTACTTCCACCTTCCACTAGCTGAATTCAGTTCATCTCAGTGTTTAATTTGCTTTAGTTTTGTGTCCTATGCCACTTCGTGTCATTTAAGACAGTGACTTATGCCATTGTTTATAAATTTATTTCCGTTGTTCTAACCTTAGTTCGGATTCAACACGTTTTTGGCTCTCAGCCCATTAATTTTAATTGATTTTTGGATTTTCAGTGCGCTTTCTCAAGGGTACGGGACCCTTTGGTTTTTTCCTGTTTGCAACCTAATACTTATGGTTTTTATCAGAATCCTCCACTGCTCGTCAAGTTTCCCTACTGGGACTTGACATTTGGTTCTTAGGGCACGGGTCCTTTAATTTTTTATGAAAACCCGTTTATTTTCAACCCCTCTTTTCACCATTATAACCATGATATTATGAATGCTAGACATCGACATCCAATTTACAATACTGTTCCACCTCCATGTAAGACCATTTTTCTTATTGTATGTATATTTTTACATGCCTTTGCTTGTAGTAAATTCTAAAAACGGCTGAAGATGGACTTTTATGAGTCCGAAACATGTCCCCTTGATTGATTTACATCGGTAGGTAATAAAGTAGTGGGATGAGTTTGAGCTTTCCTTCTTTCTTCTGAAAAATTCCACTCCACTTTCAGCAAACATGGACTTCTACCAGAGATTCAAGAAGTATTTGTTGATGAGGCCTTATATTATTTATTGTCCACCAGATCGCGCTACTGAAACGTGAGGTAGAACTGATAAGCATACTTCTTCTGTTCGTGTCATTTGGCCTCTCCCTATGATATCTTCTTCTCCTTCAATGTGAAAATTGGTCGTACAGTTCCACATCGAGAGTAAAAAAACGTAAGTCAGCTCAAGTCTTTCCATAAGTTGAGGTTTTCTATTTGTTCGAATATTCAACATAATTTTTTTCGAATATTTTCGTATGTAATACACGGTAATACAACAAGCAAATTGATGATTATCGAAATACCAGAGCAACATAATTTGTTTCGAAAAAGAGAAGGAATTTTCGATAATCATCAATATAACGAGTTGTACTCGTCAAGATTATTACAGTCATTATTTCATGGATAAAACAATGATTTTATCTCATATTTTCATTTGCAGTCGATGCGTTATGCATATATATATACCATGAAAGAATTTAGTAGACCACTGACAACGACTCACTTCACTATAGGCAGCTGAATTTTGAACACCCACCGGTATGAAGACAGCAAGGAAATCAGTATCATATTATATAAAGATGATCAGTTCGAAATGTATAATCAATTGCAAATATAATATCAAAAAATAAAGAACCTATGATTTGGTGGGCGCAAGAAAGACAGTGGGTTCCATTTGAGAAGATGAAATTGTGACCACGTGTATGAACAATGGATATAATAATAATAATTTTAGCAAGCCCTGTATGATATGGAGTATATTTCTCGGTGTAAATTGTATACATCAAGCCTGTCTAAACCACCACTAAAATATCAACTCTTCATGTATTGAGAGCCCCGATTTACTTGAGTTCAATTAGGGATATGTTTTGGATCATATTTAACACAAATTATTTTTTATCTCGAAAACCGGTAGAGATAGGTATAGGGATTTATCAACAAAAGAGTATGGTTATGAAAATGTGATTCTAAAAATGTATTATTATTCGGGGTGTTCCATTTAAAATAACGAAGTTGCTGGGACTTGTTGATAGAAACAGCAACGTCGAAATTTCGAAAATATTTTCGATCGACAGAACAGGTGGTGAGATGCGAAATTTTTAGAAAAATCCCCTTTTGCGTACTCCATTAACGTCTAACCTGCCATCGACCGTTACCCTGTATAATTGAATGAATGAGAATCATTCTCATCCTATGATTCCTATGATGGTGTTTTCTGTGCGTAGAGATTCCCATTCCTGCGCACGGAAAAATGAAATGAACATTTAAATCTGGGACACTCTGTATGAACTCGTGTGGAAACATCCTCAGGATCCACGTCAAGACTTTGATATTGTTGTCGAGAGATGTAAAGCTAAATACTAAATCATACTCGAACGTCGGTCGTCGATCCATTATTGGTTGATTGGCGATTCTCACGTTATTAGCAATTTGTGGTTGTTGTGGGTTTGTGAGAACGTGTTCGTTGTGCATCTGAAGAATGCTGTTAGGCATCCATGAAGAGCTTCGAGCGAACGTAAACGACAAGCGGCTAAATATACGGGGTGACACGAGATCGGAGCTCCTCATAAAATTCCCATTTTATTATACCATAATACTGGCAAGTATGGAATATGTTCCAGCTAAAACTCATCACCTTTCTTATCTATGAAGTCATTTAAAAAAATGCAAATCGATCTGACAGGTATAGATTTTCATTTGCAAGGACAGGACACATTTTCCTATAATTATCATGTCCCAAAGTTAAAACTTTGAAGCGGATCGGGCATCAACTTTCGATTTTCAAAGGGAACAACCGGTATTTTATTGCCCGATCAGTTAGTGATTATAATTTCAGATCCATCGATGATAAATTTTATGGGGTTTTCTCAAACGGCTTCTAACTCTGCCAGCAGAAACTCCGTCAAACAGCTACATCTCCGTAGCCGTCCGAGATAACCCCATCAAACTTGGTATTATTGGTTATTGAATCATGATTTCTAAACGGTCCTGGAATGTAATACAGGGTGTTCTATTTATAAATCGAAAGTTAATTCCTGATGTTCCACTTCAAGGTTTCAATTTTTGTTCGTTTTACTTGATTATTCGAGATTTTCTCACCTCGTTCCCACAAAATGAAAATATGAGTATTATTTCAATATATTATGTGTATAGTAGGACAAATCAGACGATTTGCCCTAAAATGTCACTGCGTTTAACAAATTTTTCTATAAGGGAGCCTAAAAGAAAAAACCAATAGCTTGTCAGTGACATTTTTCTTGGAAAAATGTTTGAAGGGAATGAATATAGATATTTTGAAAAAATATCGAATTTTTACTTATCTTCGGTCGTTTCGGAAACGAATCGGCTCCTGTTCTCAACATAAAAATGCAAAATATTTATCTTCGAAAAAATCTGTTCAAATTTGTTAAACGCAGTGACATTTAGGGGAAAATCATCTGATTTGTCCTACTACATGTGGATGATGCTAATTGAAAAGGAACCAACCGCCAAATCGCATGAAATAAGATGAAGGTTCCATGCGACAGCTTGGCATTCATTCATTATTCTGTGAAAAGTATCAAGCGCCTACTGGATTTCTAGCGACATCTATCGACTAAAGACCTAAGCGACATCGAAGAAAAAAGCAGTTTCCTGTTATTGAAAGAGATCCAACTGACGTTACCGTTTATAGAAAATGATCAGTGTCACTTGGTTCCTTTTATGTTTTAAGTCATTCGTGTTTGTGATAACAGTGAGTGTTGGTTTTCATGTATTTCGTATTCTATACGGACAGAAAATGGGTAAAAGAGCTCAAATCATTGTCGATAAGGCATTACGACTCAAGGAGGATAACCAGTCCGAACCGAAAAGACTGAAACTCAACCAATGTAATGAAGTGAGTAAATTTGTATAGGTTATGTCTCGAAAGTATTCAGTTCTTAATATTTTTTCTTGAGAATCATTGCATTTCCTTGTGAATATTCGTTCTTTTTAGACATTTCACAGTTTTTGTTCAGTTTTTTCTGGTATTCTTATGGAGAATGATATCTAAAACGAACCAACCGCCATTAAGCCATTATAGTTGGAGCCGAATCACGAACCAAAGGGCGAATGGTTCTTTTTAGATATTATTTCGGGAATGTGAAGAAATATTCATTACGTATTTATTTTGCATCCCCAAGGAACCATGTGGATCTGGTCATCCACAGAATACCACTTCTAAAGAAGTAGATTCATCAGGTAAGTGTACACATAGGTACCAATACATTTTTCGCGAATACTTGAATACATTCTGTATACTGACCTATTCTTACTTATTGAAGGTGCAAACATTCAGAACTTTGAGAATAAAAAAACGAACAACCAGATCATTCAAGTTCCGAATCTTGAAGACCCAACTATCACCGAATCAAGTCAGAATATAATAATCAAGGAAATTCTTGTGTTCAAAAGTCCAATCGAAAAAATTCAGATTCCTAGGCTATGTTCATCAGGTAAAAATATTCATTTCGAAATCAAATACATTCCATTACCTATCTAGAAATCCATTGTTATTAACTTCAGGGATACACACTGATGAAAACAAGGAGAATGAATTGAGAAATAAACATTCACCTCTGAATTTGAAAGTGATAGTTGAAGGAGTTCCTATTATTGACGAATTCAATGAAGGCATCGTAATTTCTCATCCAATTAGCCCAGGTGAAAAATCATAATGATAATAATCATTTAAAATGATAGTATTTAATAATTTCAATACATAAAATCAAAATTTACAGAATATCCCTTTTATTTCAGGAACGAACATTATGAATACAGAACATAAAGAACCAGAAAACTTGGAGTTTCAATGCCAGAACAATGAAGACTTACTTGAAGAAATTGCGATTCCTGATGAGGACTCACTTGAAGAAATGGTTATTGATAATAATTACAATAATTACGAATTAAATAACATTGAACAGGAAATACAAAACGAAGATTCCGATGATAGTATGAAAGACCGAGACTATATTCCTGATTCGGAAAGTGTTAGTAGTTTAGAGGAAGGAGAAGTTGACTTGCTATTTGATGAAGAGGAGATTGAGAGGAAGCAGAAATTAAAGCAAGAAAAGGAAAATTGGAAAGGACGTTCCAAGAAAGGACGGAATAATAAATATCCTGGACAAACTTTCGCCACAAGAAAGAAATTGAAAGATGCCAATAAGACTCACTACACTGTCAAAGGAAAATTGAAAGAAGCCAAACAATTCATCGACTACAAATGCAGCTGTCTGAAAAAATGCAGTGAAAAATTATCAGGAGATGAAAAAGGAATATATTTCAAAAATTTTTATGATTTAGCATCATACGATTTGCAAACTATTTATATCGCAGCAACAGTCAAAGAAATGCCTATTAAGAGAAAACGAGCTAAAAATGGTCCAGGTAAATCTTATACTAGAGTCTATATGCTTGGAAAGGTTGAAGTTTGCCGGGATACTTATATAAACACTTATCAGATATCTACTAAGAGAGTAAATACTGCATTAGAAAAAAAACGTAGCTCCCACATAAAAGATGAGCGAGGAAAATCTGGAGGTAAGAAGAAAGTTGATGAAGAAATAATAAATCTAATCATCAATCATATAAAGAAATGTCCAACCTATGTTTCTCATTACTCTCGATCAGAAACTGAGGCGAAATTCTTGCCTTACGACCTTACTGAGAGTAAAATGTATGAACTGTATATAGCTGACAATCATCCAAAAGTTAGTTTTCAGTTCTTCAAAAATATATTTTATAAACATTTCAATTTGAAACGGAAACCCCCAATTAAAGATACATGTAACAAGTGTGACATGTATTCTTCACAAGTGAAAAATGCACAAGATGAGAACCAACAACTAGTTTTGAAACAACAACATGATGTGCATCTTGAAAGGGCGCAGCTTGCTAGAGAACAGCTCAACAAAGATATGAGAGAAGCGAGTAAAAACCGACATATTGAAACCCTTTGTTATGATATGGAAAAGGTTCTGGGATTACCTAAGTTACCAACAAATATTGTCTATTATAAGAGACAATTAAGTATTTTCAATGAGGGTATTCATTCAGGATCAACGAATACTCCATATTGCTTTTTGTGGAAAGAGGGGGTAGCAGGGCGAGGAGCCCAAGAAGTCGGCTCATGTATTAAAAAATTCATCGATGTGCACCTTAAGAATGGAGTAGAGGAATTAATATTGTGGTCAGATAGCTGTGGTGGCCAAAATCGTAACATAAAAATTGTGATTATGTTAAAAACAGTTTTGATGCAGCACCCAACATTGAATGTAGTTTATTTCAAATATCTTGAGTCCGGGCACAGTGTTTTGCCGAACGACACAGATTTTGGGCAAATAGAAAGGGCGCTCAAAAATCAGGTTCGCATTTATACACTGAAAGATTTTATGTCAGTAATAGGAAATTGTAAGAAACATCATAAATTTGTAATAAACCTGATGGAGTCCGATGATTTTTACTCAACTGAGGATATTGAGAAACAAATTTCAAACAGGAAATTGACTACTAATAAAGAGAAAGTGAGTTGGTTGAAAACAAAAATAATAAAACTTGAGAAGTCGAAACCAAATTCGATATTTTTGTGTGAGTCCCACTCACCTGAAGAGAATGATTTCAAAGAAATAGATATTTTGAAAATAACACGAGGCAAAAAAATTCCCATTGATCCTCAAAAATTGAAAGTTCTTTACCCTGAAGGAAAAGCCATCTCGAAGAAAAAATGGGATGACATCAAGACCTTACTAAAGTTTCTTCCCAAAGATGCAATTGACTTTTACAGAGTCGAGAATATCGAGAACTTTGAGGATGATATCGAAGGTTTTGGCTCAAAAACTGATTTTGACTATGAAGATGCAGTCTGAGTCTCATAATATTTTTCCTAGTTATTGAGATACTTTGTTTTATGAGTCTGGAAATAAAATTAGTTGTTCCTTTAAAACGACCCATTTCATTGATTCCCTTTAATTTAAACAGAACCATGGGATTTGGATCTTTTTTGAGTAATACAACACGATTGTTTGATTATTGAGAAGGAACCATCCACCAAAAAAAATAGAAAATAGTTGTTTTGACACATGAAAAGAAGATAATCCACTATTCACTATCATTCGATCCAAACTTGCAATATTATTTCATAAAAAAAAATTTGAAGATATGATAATTTCAAAAGAACAAGAAATTTGTTATAACCGCTGATTTCCCAAAATGGATATGTGGCACTTGGTTCCTTTTCAATTATCATCATCCATGTATATTGAAATAATACTCATATTTTTATTTCGTAGAAACGAGGAGAGAAAATCCCAGATAATCCATTAAAATGATGGATGAATGTAACACCTTCTCGATTAGCCTATACAAACAGTATTTTTCAATTTTGGTGATATGATATGTACAGAAGAATGTGGCCTACGCCAAAATAAAATCGACCTTTCCGAGCGATTTTCATTATTTTTAACTGCTTCGGAGATGAGAAGGACAAGTTTTAGCTGGGACACACTGTATAGTAGTTTACATTGAATAAAAAACGGATTTAGCGCTTCAAAACATATACCTAGTGTTCGATAAGAAAACCGGATATAATGGGTGTGTACACCTTAGTAGAACTTTTAACTCAAACCATGTTTATATACATAAATAATGATTGACGACATAATTCGATCGAAAAATTTACTGGCATGTTTTGTTTTTGGACATAAATAATAGTACCTTCTGAAAACAGACCATCTTATGACGTAGAAACCTCATCTCGCCATAGTTAAAAGAAAATACCAAACGCCCTACGGAGACTGAGGCAACTGTTATATTAATTCTTTTAGCTGATGTGATCTCGCCCTAATTCACTCTGTCAGAAATCATGTATCCTTCATCTCTGTCTGGAATAGTCTTGTTTCAGTATTAGGGTTTTGACGTCACATCATCGCCTCGTTTTCGGAGGTCCGAAAAATCGGGGATTTCAATAATTTTTTATAAAACGTAGGGAGCTCAATGCAAGAAACGGTTTGCGGTGGTGAGCTAGTTTACGTAAGATCTATCGAATTATGCAATACAATTTTTTTGTGATATAAGCCCATTCTTTTTTGCAAGGCGAGGCTTGAGTAAAATGGAGTGTACACAATGGTCGAATCAACGCCACATACCTATCTATTTCATATTGATCGTTCCATGTATAAATAGTATAAGCTTTGAAGTTTTTTCCAGCCGATAGAAATTCCGACTTTCATCTCGAGATTCAGACTTCCATCTTGAAATTTCACTTGAAATTTCCCCTTAACTTTCGTCACGAAATACGAAAATAACTACACATTTTCCAATCTTACTTCAGAAATGGTCAATTGTATTTCAAAATTGTAATTTGAATATCAAAAAGCATCATTTGTATTGCGAATTATTTAATTTGATTTCGAAAAGTATTTTTTTTATGTTCTGTTTCCCACGAAAAGGGATATCCTGTATTTCATAATTATAATTTCAATTTTGAAATGCTTCAATTGTATTTCAAATTTTAATTTCAAAAAACTGCAATTGTATTTCGAACTTATCAAATTTATTTCAAAACCTATAACACTTCAAATCCCAAAATAGTCATTTGTATTTGTAATGCATCATTTGACTTTAAAAACTGAAGAAGCACAGGCAAGGGGTAGATAGGTGTTGGGTGATATTTTCATTCACCTTGTTATTGGAACGCTTCTGGCTTCTGGTTTCTTTCATTGTGGCATCATCAATAAAATGATTAGTTTGGAAATCGAAATAATGGATTTTAAAATTGAAATGTTTTTTTTTTTCAATTGTAATGACTAATTTGGAATCAAATTGACGCATTTTGAAATTGAATTGACAATGACTTTTTAAATACATTCGATACTTTTTAAAATTGAATGACTAATTCGAAATACAATTCTTTATCAAGACTTGATACTTGAAATACTATATAATACCAGCGCAAAAAGAAAACATATGTGTATAAATAAAATATATATATTATATTCATACACATAGTATTTCATGTTTTAAGTCTTGATAAAGAAAATTAATATTTTTCTTGATAAAGAAAATTAAAATTTTCGACAAATAAAATGAAGAAATTTAACTGATATTGGTCAAAACGACTGCTTCCTACTAATATTTCCCCGAATATAACCTATAGAACAGTCAAGAAAGCTTCCTCTTATGTATATAAAAACATTGAGAATTCGCATTCTCTATGTGATGAAAATATCAATTCTTTCTCAGTTTATTCAACAGAAAACAACTACTTCCCTGGCTATACGCCACGACGAACATTGAATTATATCTATTGAAGACAAACGATAAGAATTTGAAAACAAAATTTTCTGAAGTTGAGAATTTGCATTAAAAATTTCTTTCCACGTCATACATCCAAAAACATACTGAATATGTTTGAAAACTGTGTTTGTATTGTAGTATGTTTGAGAAACTGTGAAATGAATTTGTGCCAATTTCGAATTATTTTGAGTTATACTTCGAAATCATGAAAAAACATCGCATGTCCTTTCTAATACGCCTCCTTACAAGTATGCCACACTGTATATGCGTGTTTGTCCAACGACTTCTCATCCTCATCCGAGCTGCCATTAATATGCTCCCAGATTTTTTGTGTCTGACACGAGACACAAGCAGGCAAGCAAGCAAGCCGTCTTTGTATGAGAAAAGTGTGGAGGTGAAGTTGAAAACAGAAAAACAGCTTTCAGCTGGCACAATCCGTATAATGCGAGTGGACTTACAATGAATTATTGGCATTCAATTACTCCACTTGGTTTTCTGTTTCGGGCCAGGAGCTATTTAACTTTCAGTCAGCTGCTTATGATCTATATAAGGCACAGATCCGATCTGTCCTGGAATACTGTTCCCATATTTGGAGTGCAGCACCCAAACATACCCTAAAACTGTTGGATTCTGTTCAAGAAATGGCAATTCGTCTCGTGGGTGATGCCTCGCTCACAAACTCACTCACTTCTCTGGAACACCGTAGAAAAGTTGGCGATCTAGCTCTATTCTATATGTATATATTTTCATGGACGATGCTCTTCTGAAATATCAACAATTGTTCCTCCCTTGGCAGTCCCCGAGAGATTAACCCGTCGAGGCTTCGCACCCGCTCGTGCTTAAAATACTCGTTACTAAAAGGACGTTTATAACACTTGTTACATAATATACTATCACCGCTCTGCTAGCTATACATAGTGGAGTATCCTACGGCCTTGCCAAAAATGCTATCTCGGAAACTAAGCGAGATAGAGGTATAGTTTCTTTGGAGAAAATGATCCCCATCGAATTTTGAGCAACTTTGGTTTTTGTGTGTGGTCTGTCTGTCTGTACTCTGTGGTAATCATAAATCGATATATGTATCTCCGGAACCCTTTGACATATCGACTTCAAATTTTGCCATCTTATTGTACTCAAAACAATATTATGTCATTGAAATATGAAGGAAATCGAAAAACTCTAGGTGGTTTTTCCGGGTTTTTTCGTTTTTTCACCGGAAGTTCCTTGTGACCACTCTACAAATCGCAAAAGTGGTCCGATCGATTTCATTTTTTGTGAAAAAAAACTCTTATCAGGGAGAGACGAAGCCTATTGAAATTGAGCAGGGTCGGGAAATTCCAAGTGGGTTTTTCAAGGAGATTTTCCGAAACACACGGTTCGCTTTAAAACGACATATCTCCTGAACCAATGGACTAAATCCAAATTTGAAAAATGCACCGTATGCCTCTTTGATGACGCAACAAATTATCATTCCACCATTTTTTCGTGAATCCATCGGGAAATGGAAAAACAAATGAAAATCAAAACATCATAATTTGAAATTCTGTCAATTCAATATATCGAAAACAAATTGAAAAATCGAAAATTATCAGAAGTGCAAAGTTATCCACTGGAACATTTCCTACAAATTATTACCCAAATTGTTTTCTGTAAACCCAATAGTACAGGAAATAAAGTGAAAAATATGAAAAAAAAATTTGAACGACCCATAGGGTACCATGAAGATATATTGAAAAACAAAAGATTATCGATAGATGAAGATTATCGTCTTCCACTGAACCATGAAATATTTTTTCCTTTTGTTGATTGGAAGATCGAACAAAAGTGTTGAAAATTTTATTCTCAGATAATTCCAAATATCTCTGAAACAACTGAAAATATCTGAAAATGTTATGGATCCAAAATTATTCCTTTCGATAGGATCTACAAAAAATCCGTATAACATTTTTCTCTGAATTCAATAGTTCGGGAGATACGATGAAAAAACTAAAAAATTTACAAGTTCTTAGATAATCACTTGCCAATAGAGAACAAAACAAAAAACAAAAGAAAGTAAAAAAAGCACACTCGACTGTCTGGAAAAACCAAGACAGTCGAGCGGGCTAAGTACGTAGTTTGTGGGAAAAATCTCCAGTTTACTGAACTTTCATAGCGTCGTATACACATCTTTGGTGCCCAATGATAGTTTCAATATGCTCATGATATGGTGCCATGGCCTCTATCTCCATCTTACATGAGCAATGATAAAATATCATCTGCTTTTATAGCGTCGTATAAATTATCTGACCTCTATACTAATCTTATACCTTATGAAAACTACATCTATACTAATCTGATACCTTTCAAAAACTACGTACCTCACTTGTTACATACTATACTGTTTCGCATCACTTCTCACGCTTTTTTATGTAAATGATGAGCTCATTTCAGACGTACCGTCATGGCCGCCATTTGGCGATATTTCGAATAAATGATGACGTCAGTTTTTATGCTGTTTCGTTATTGGTCAGATAAACATTGAAGTAAAATTAAATGATAATGATGATGATATCACCTTCATGTGATCGAATAT